CCCGGCTTTGTAGGGATGCGAGGTCAACGGTCTAACGACTGCGGCGCATGCACGACTATGAGTACACCCCCCCACCCCCCCACCCCTCTGCTTTTGGGTGCGTCAGTCCTGGCCGGTGCATGTAAGGCAGCCCCGGTATGCCTTTAGTCAAAGGATGTCGACTACGTGATCAACGACGTCATCTGCTGTTCGACTCCATTTTTGCGCGTGTCTGACTTGTCGAACAGGTGCGTTTGCGCCATGAAGAAGACCTGTATTTTATTGATCCTTCAAGTATCGCTATTAATATCACGCAAGTAGAGTATTTCCTTGAACCATGCCCTGGCGCCCCCTCGTCACCACGCACAACTTATTTATTACCACTCTATGCACAAGGCCGGTAGAAAATCGAGAGGGGACCCATCGATGGCAACGCCAGTAGGTCTGCGCACGGTTGGATATGATCTAGAACCAACGCCACCACCAGCACCACAGGATCGTGTACCAGGAGCACGTAACACTCCCAGAGGTGGACGAGGAAGTAGGCGCGGGAGCGGGCGCCTGTGTAGCAAGAACCGGTGCCGGAACGGCCGCGAGGTCCCTGCATTGTTTTCGGTTGTTGGAGGCGGTGGGAAGGGAGAGGAAGCTTCGCGTCAGTGTTGATGTGATCGTAACGCCGAATTTAAGGTGCATTGTCGAGTGCCGGCAGGGCAGGCAGGGCAGGCAGGACAGGAGGCAGGCGTGTTGTACGAACAGGGAGAGAGGGTATCATGGGGGTGTGCGTATATTCCATGATATATCTCGTGGCATTTCACGTACCATTGTGAACCCGCCATGACAAATATGTACCAATGATGTCAAATAATCATGTACGTCCTACGAAGAAGGAGGGCTGAAAGCAACGTTGTGCCCTTTCCACGGTTCAATCAAATCTTAGGCTAATCTGTAGTTGCGGCTAATCTGTAGTTGCGCCAATGTGCAGTGCACTGACGTACGTGTTTCCACGCCCTCGATATGCAACTCTTTCTCGCGGCGGTACCTACCTACAGTATACCCTCATGGAACCGAAGCGTCGATGTCAACGCTGCTACACGCACCACTAGTCTAGATAATAACATATAAATGTATAAGCTTACAGAAGAAGAAAAGGAAGCCGCCTGAGGCGTACCCGAGAGATTCACGCTGAAAGCGCAATGCTTTTTTCCCCTCCTCAACGGCCGCACCGTCAAATCGAAACATCGCTCAACTCAAATGTGCAGCCCGGGTCACTGACTATCCGTCGAGAGAGAATCCGTCATCAGAATGTTCAACAATTGGACCGCAACGTCCAGAAGAAGAAAAGAGTTTCACTCACGCAGCTGTTGGCTTGACCACGGCTGGGGGAATATCGTCCGAGCTGGAGGCCACGTAAAATGTCAAGTCCGATCCGTAGGTCTCCTTGGAGTACGGCTGTCCGTCAGGGAGCCCCTCCGTCGATACCTGTGCCCAGCAACACCGGAGGCGCTTCGTTATACTTTTCTGCCTCTCTTAAGAAAAACATTCACAACCCACTGCTGTTGGATATCATGCGCGTTTCTTTGCTACTGCACAATTCCTGTTCTTCACGTTCCACATCCGCTACCGTTGTCGCCTTAGGAAGCTGAAATATGCTTCTGTTGGTCGTCGAATCAGTGTGGAACCGTCGAGGGCCCTGAGTCGCGGACACCGCCCTAGACGTTCTGTGCGGAGACTACTGTAACGACATCCTACATCACTCCGCCGCCCCCTCGCCAGAAACGCCAAGACGGCAATGACACGATGAAAACGAAACCATCGTCAAGGCGCTGGACCTCTATCATACATACATACATACATACCTTGTCGGCAAAGCTCGTCGGCACCGTGACGGGGATGACCCCGGCTCTGCCTCCAGTGTTGCTGAGCTCCATGCCCGAGATGTCTCCATCGGAGGTCTTGGTGATGGTCACTAGCGCGTTGGAGCCGTCCAGGTCCTCGTGGTGCTTGAAGTTGGTGCAGAGGTCGTCGAACTTGACGGACTGCACGAAGGAAGTAAAGTGAAACCGACACCGAAGGCATGAAACGATGAGCTTTCAGAAGCAAAGGCTCAGATATTGGCGACAAAATCGGAAGAATCGACCAAGAGACACACCTTAGCCGCGGATCTTATCCTTAAATGTATGTATTGTAACCTCTTCTCGACGGTGGTGACAAAATATGAAACTGAGACTCGACCCCCGAGTGACGTTTCTTTGTCGCGGGCTAGCCGTATTTATGGCATACCAACATCGAAGCCCCACGAATCGGCGACAGGGTTTAGGTCATGTTGAGTAGAGGACCCGGGGGAAACCAGCCTCACACGAGCAATGCGTTGTGCTGTCGACACAATGCGGGAATGGAAAAAAACGACTGGCGAGAAAACCGGTTTCGGAACGCCCTCTCTTGGAGAGGGTTGCACGGGTCTCGACGGGCCGGAGAGAGAACAAGAAAATTTTCATGCGCCACATCGACACGACATGTTTCATTTTTTTTTCTAATGCTTAGCCTTCCTTCTCCAGGGCTCCTAGATAGAGGGAATCGGTACTGCCGCCTCATGCTTGAAGGGCTCAAGAAGAAGGGACGCGGTACCACGTACGACCGTACCGCGCAGACCCCACAAAAAATCCCCTCGAGGTGCGACTTCTCCCGTTCCCTCGTTCGGGGACCACCCCGTAGTCACCTTTATCATACCTGGCATGAAAATTCGATTGCTTTTTCAAAAATCATGTTCCTGGCCCTGCATAATCTTCCACACTACTGGCAGTTTTGATAAACCGCCCATGGAGGACCCATGAGTGGTCCATGAGCTGTCTATGGGTGGGTCCATGGGTAGCCCATGAACTGCCCACGAAGTGCCGACCGTGGGGCACTTCAACGAAATAATTAGCCACCGGCACGTCAATCTAGGCCGCCCAGCGCCAACCAAGCACGTATCGTTTGGGCTTGGAGTTGAGTTTAGGATTAGCGTTAGGGTTATTACTCGCTATAATGCCCCTGCCAAAGCAGATAAAATATTGTTGACGAGTACACTGGTTCCGGTATAAGAGCACTCATTGACGGTCCACGGGCTGGCCATGGGCTTGCCCACGGGTATTTCCCATGGGCGTCCTATGGGTCGCCCGTGGTCTGTCAATGAGCGGCCGATAGGCACAACTTGTTGCCCTTGGGCAGCTCATGGGGGACCCACCCACGGACGGACTAACAACACCGTCGAAAGTATGTGTGGGAGACCCGCCCTGCAACGAACCTCCTCCTCTCCGAGGGGAGGTCTCGCACCGCGTACGGTAGACTACATACACACCTTGATCGGGAACGGGTCGTCTCCCTGCAGGTTGAGGTAGAGGGCCATCTTCTTCAGGACGACCTCGTACCAGTACTCCAGCAGTGACATCTCGCCCAGCGGGGTCGACGTGGGGACAACGTTCGCCTGGTGGAACATGTACTTGTCCCTGCACCGTAAAAAACAAACGAAAAAATTGTTGTCGTTGTCGTTTGCAAAAGAGAAGGCGGCCTGTCTTGCTAAGATGGGAGCCAAAGGTCGTGCCACTCTCGGGTTATTTTCAGCGTACCCGGAGAATGTGTCGACGGACGACGCCCGAGTCAGTTGGACCAGTACCGACATTTGAAGGTCTAGAGTAGAGACCGGAACGATTTTTCATGTGAAGTCAAAGCAACAACAACAACAGCATCAACAACAACTGTGGTCTGAAGTTCTCTAGCGACCGGCGGGCGGGGATGCGTGGGGGTAGCAGCCTCATTGTTGGCACCTGCGACCGCTTAGAATCCAGCGAGTGGTGGTTTCGGCTTCCACGTCGAAGAGAGCGTCGGCCGTCCCGAAGGCCTGGAGCCCGTTGGGGCACAGGCTGTCCTCGGAGAAGTCACAGCCCTGCAGGGTTCGGCGATTGCGGCGGAGAAGAGGGAGATATTTATGTGTGGAAGAGCAGAGGAGGCGAAAGCGGCTACGGAAACAACAACAAAGGAGGAAGCGTGGTAGGAAACCTTAGTCGGAGTATTTTTCTCGCGAAATGGCGGGCTCTTCGAACGAACAGAACACGGAACCAGAGCCGCAGTACAGTAGTGTGTCGCGAGATCGACGCCGCACGGACGCAAAAAAAATCTGGTGTTGGAGTGGATTTTATCCGTCGTCTACTCTACATGACCGCGCATTGTGGCAAACAACCAAGGTGTTTGCGTCGGACGTGCCCTATTCCATGCTCTTGGTCATTTTTTTTGGAGGGTGGTATTCCGTCGTCTGTCCAGAGCCATCGTTATGCTCCCGCGGAACAGTTACCCAACCTGCGCCGCGATGGCGCTTCTTGGACAACACAACACAAACTATCCTCGACATCTGACTGTGCATTCATCTGACCACCCACCGCAATGTCGTCGATGTTGAGGTTGTCTATGGTACCCGGGTCGACGTCCGTGCAGCCACAAACGGTGCGGCGGATGAACAAGTTCTCCAAGACAAGGCACTGCGTTTATTGTTTTGGAGGAGATTTTCGAGGACGACAGGCGGGGTACGAGTGGAGGGGAGCGATTACGAACCTAACCCAAACCCGCACAAGGGCGACCCAGGGGTTGCTTTCGTGTGCTCCAGGCGCAAGGTTCATCTTGTCGAAAGTTCTTTAGCCTATAGAGTGAGATTAATGGGCTCACAGCAGAAGATGCATCGTACGCCACTTGTCCGCATTTGCAGAAGATTCCGCGACAATATGGCCCCATCGGTGATCGTCAAATACTTACGTCTGAGGTCCTGCAGTTGTAGTACACGAAGGTGGCGAAGCGCGGTACAATCTGGAAGCCCGCGAGGCCTTCCGGTTCAAAGGCGAACGGCGCGGAAAGCGGCGGTTTGGGAGGTATAATGTGATCACAGGCTAAGGTAGATAATATCCAAGAATCACTCGCAATGTTGTCTCCCATACGCTTGTCTGTAAGTTCACTCCGCACACATCACATTCGGTTTCTCCATGTGTCGTATTCCCTACCGTTGATTTCTTCGGTCGTGTAGATGGAGTGAAACTGGCTGACGTCCGAGATGAGACTGACGGTGGTCGTGGGGGCTCCGATGTAGGTGTTGTCTCCGGGGGCACAGGTGATGAGGTTGTCCATTGCGGACTTGAGGCAGTTCTTGTTGTAGAAGCCAGTGATGCCCGGCGTAGTCATGCTCCGCCATCCGTACGTGTCCACGTCAAAGAGTCCCGTGATGACGGCGATTTGGGCGTTCCCTGAAGCGCGCGTTTGGGTGGTGTATGGGGGGACAAGTATCATCACAGACAAGGGGGCGTCCGCCGAAAAGATGCGCGACCATCAGCGTTGGGGAACAGTACCCACCGGATCGTCAGCATGAGCACCGGCCGACCCCTTAGCACGCCTATCGTTATCACGTCGCCGCTCATGCTACGACTGGCAAACCAATAGGTCGGATAGGTTGTTTCGAGAGGTTTAGGGCTCGCGGGGAGGGGGTTTCACCCAGGGAGAAGGATCAGAGTGAAACCTACCCCGTTCATCTCGCCCCTAGTCCGAGCGTCTCCTTTGTGTCTACCAAAGTACACCTCCATCGCATGGGTTTGATGCGTGTTGTTCTTACCACCGTCCTCAGACTCGCAGTCGACCTGGCCGAGGTTGTCTCTAGCCTGGTGCGAAAGGGTGTGGCTGTGCCAGAAGAAATCGTCCTTCATGTCCAGTGATGCCTGCAAGAGGTCGTCTTTCTCCTTCCAAGAATCGAACTCTGCCGTCAGGCCCTCCATCGTGACCGTGTTGAACCAGTCTTCGGGTGTTTTGGTCGGTGCGAGTCCGACCGTGCCTAAAGTAAGAAAAACCGAGTGTCAACCGAAGCGCGCCAGGACCACACTAATCGATCTCATTTTCAGGACTTGCCCCGCAACGTCGAGAGTGAGCTATAGATAAGTGAAATCGGTCACAGAAAATTGCTTCAATATTTTACCGCATGGTACAATCGGTAAGATATTCCGTCAAATGGTACGGCTTCAGTGAGAATGTGGTGGCTGCAAAGAAAAGCACAAGAAACATCCCGACCAGCATTCCCTACAGGTATCGCATGCTACAGAGCAAGTCGTCAGCGGACTTGCTACGAAAATCACGGAGGCACTGACTGGGAGTTACAGGAGTTTTTCGACGTGTCCCTCTGCTACTGAAGAGCTACTTCGGTTGGGCCCTGGCCCCGGGCACCTACATTCGTCGCTCACCGTCACCGTTGTCTACGGGGGGCTCTCCCTTGGCCAGCAACGCTGCGTCGGCATCTTCAAAGGTGAACGTATACTTCGTTTCCGCCTTGGGCGGCGGGGCGAAAGTTGCAAGTACGAAGCAATGATTCGAACCATCTGTTAAGGTTCACATGCTGGAGTCTGGAACATGACAGGGCGTGATTCCGTGTCGAGGAAAGGCGCTCTGGACGTAATGCCTGCTGCTTCCGGAGAAGGCGAAGGCATGGGAATCGCGGCATGCTGGCTGTCAAATCATTCAATCATTCGTTTTGCCTGACTCGCAATGAAACGAACGAAAAAGAATGTGAATATTTTGCAACAGTTCCAGTTCCAGTGTGTTCTCTCGAGATGAAGATGTAACCTTTTCCAGGATGCCGAGGGCGTTGAAGGGGAACTCAGTGATGATCTCGGCGTTGTAGAGTTCGTTCAGCGCTTTCGTAGCACTGAGGAAATCCCTGAGCTCCTCGCCCGAGATCCGCTCCTCCTGCGAGCGTTCGCCCGATTTCGCAACAAACGGTGAAGTGAAACGCTCCTCATGCCGAGCCTCACATCTCCTTTTCATCCTCCGCGATATCGTAGTTACGAAAAGCCTTCTCGGATAGGGAATAAACTAGGATAGTGTCATGAGGCGTGTGGTGCTCATTACGAGCACGAGATGTTACCCCAGCAACCATCTTTCACACGGGTAAGATGTCGTGCTTTCCACAGGGGTTCATTCAATACACAACGAAACAGACATTCATTCTCATGACTGAAACTCGGCCTGCGTCGGAGTAGATGACTTGCGGCGAGAAAGACACGGTACATGATAGGGGTGTCATTGCGACCAGCGCTCGAACTCTTACTAGCCGGCTCCTTCATCACCGCTTCATTGTCCTGCTTGTGCCACTCACATACACAAGCATCCCATTCGAGTCTACCAGAATAGTGAGTGAAAACCCCAACCCGCAGTCACACGTTGTTGGCACGCACTGTAGCAGATCGGAGATGGTGACCAGCACTTTAAACAATTCAATGCGGCACCGCAAAGACCAGCAACAACAAGATAACGGGGGCTACTCACTTCATCGCTTGCATTCGAACCGCCGTTGTACACGAAAGTATTTGTTCCGAGAAAGTGGTCGTCAACCATCGCGCCAAGCCAGAAGCGGCGCTCGCCCTAGGAAAGAGGGAACGGCAACATGAATTGTTAGACAGATGGAAGAACAACGTCAGGAACGAAGGGAGACCTCGTTCGACGCTACCATGTCCACGCATCACGAAGAGAATCAAGGACAATGTGAACATCAAGACCGCAGATCCAATACTTCCTCCAAAATTCTCACACACAACGGCAGTGCATGTCAACAGTTTTCTCGACACTGCTGTACATATACCACCAGCAGGAAATGCAAAAAGCAATCTACACGCACCTGGAATACCCCCTGGGTGGCCCACTCCATGATGTAGTGCGCCCACGCCCACGACTCCATGTGGAACCAGGCCATGGCGAAGAACACGTGCATCTCCTCAGACCCGTCTTCGCCCTTGAACGTAACCGCGGCCATTGAGGCGCCCGGGGTTTCCATAGTACTGCTGGGGTCCCAGATACCGTCCGTATCGCTGATGGACTGCCCATCGCTATCGACGAGGCTGAGGTTTGGTAGTGCCGAAAGGAGGAGAGCACACAAGGTAAGTTCATGCATAGAGAAATATGATAGAGCAAAAACGGTAGGCGCTTTGCTGCGAACAAAACAATAACAAATGAAGAACCGGTTAGTACGGGGAGCCTGATGGAACTGCGGCACAATCGTTCCTATGCTCACGTCGTCTACTCATGGCGAGGTATCGGATCGGGAAATGTGATAAGATGATGGTTAAGCATGACCCATCTAGACTAAAATTTCGGGGAAGCGATGTTACTGAGGGATGGACCCGGGGCAGGCGCGTTTCCAGCACCCACATGACTTGTGGTGACTTATTTCATCTGTGACTCACTCTGCGACGATAGTTCGCTCGCCGCCTGTAGGATCACCCGATACCCTCACGGGGCGGAAAAAAATCTCTGAAGGGTCTGTTTGAAGCGCTGGGTTCACCACTCGTGCATCCGAATCTGTGGTAGGGTGTGTGTCGCGCGCGGGGAATGTTGCGCAATCGGACCACGTGAGTAACAAAACTTGGAGGTTCGTATTTTCTACAGCGTCCAAGCTGGTCTTGCCACGGGAAGGCAAGACGACGTGCCTTTTCCACCGATACGAAAATTCCTTCAATATCGGACTGAACACTCCGTCAAAGGCGGACTAAACACTCCGTTAAAGGAGAGTTACAGAGGGAAATGGTTCCCGTCCGAAAAATCCTGGGTACATGTTAAACGCAGGCAGGCACACCCTTTTCAACACTATTTTCTTCACGAACTTCAAATGGTGCTCTCTCTTCAAACCCACGGCGGAACGGTGAGAAGATGGTGGCCGTTCGGGGGCAATACGATCTACGGGACAATAAACAGGCACCAAATAATCGAACAATTGAGTGATACATTCACAAGAGCGGCAAGGAGAAAGGGGGCAGAGATAGCGATCAAAATACCAAACACAGCCACCTTTCAGCCTGATGCCTGCCGCTGCGAGCAAAGTGTCCGAGAAGTATTGCTGGATCCCGATCTTGGTGGTGATGGTGGCCAAATTGGCTGTCTCGGCGTTGTCGAAGAACACCAAACGGACCTTAAAGGCGCGCAAACATTGCATGATTTTCAAGCAAGCAAGTGGTCAAGGGGGACCCAGTTTTTCAGAGACGAACGTGATTTTGATAAGGGGATGAAGTTGTGGTGCAGCAGCAAGCACACGAACAAGGTATGCTATGCGAAACCGTCAAGTTGTGGTCCTCGTTTTGTCTGCGACCGTCGCCTCGATTGCGTTTTTGTGTATTGGGTCAACCATGAAGAAAGCCAATTGAGTGAGTTTCTAGCGCAGCCAGCACAACTATGGTTGCCAGCACAACTAGGTTGATTCTGACTACTACATGTCACTACGTGTAGTTGAACATCTTGAAAAAGAGTCGGGCTATTGAATAATTGTAGTACTTCTGTTCGTCTTTCAGACTGGTGTGCTACGGTATGGAGCATCTGTTTCTCTCCTCACCTGAAACTTCGCCGAGTACGCCAACAGTTGTTCATATTGCGCGGTCGCACCGTCCTCCCCGACCGAAGGCTGGGACCCGATGAAGATCGCGCTGCACTTGCCGTGGTTACCATCGCCGTCGTTGAGAAGATCGAAGTCGCCGTCTCCCGTGTCAATAATGACGTGCTGCGAAGGGTCATATCCGTTGTCGTTGTCGGTGACGGGCATCTGCCATAGGCTAGACGTGTTGCCTAAAATACATGTAGACTATGGTCTACAAAAAACTGCGTATCATCTAATTCGAAGGCTCTCCGCCGTCTGCATTTGTCACTGTCGTAGCGTGCGTGTGCCGAATAAAAGTGAAAATCAAACAGGACGATGGAGTACATTGTGCTACGCCAGGGTGGCGGTACAAACGACATCTGTACGCTGTTCATGATACAACAGCGAGACTCTATTAAGACGGAGGTGGGAAAGATTTAGTTGCACACGAACGTATGCGCTCGAGCAACTAATAATACGATGTAGTATACACCGGCAAAATTTTTGACGGTGTTGAATGGACCGGTGCATCCCATAGATGTCTTGGGAGCGATGAGGGCTTCAGGTACTAAACATACCTGAGATGCGGCCCAGAACCCCTTGAAAAGCTCGCTCAAAAGGTACGCTTCCGAGACCGTCGACACGTCCTGTTCCTGTATTCTCGATTGAAATGGGGTGCAACGAGAGGATTCGTAGGATGTTAGTAAGACGTACAGTCTAGAGCTTGGAGTACCGAACATTTTCTCGACGGATGCCGCTTTCTTCGGAACATTTTCGGCCCATTGTGTATCCATAGTCGCGGGTGCTTAGTGGTGGTCACATGTCAGGGAAAAAGCACGGAGCGTGTTGTTTTTCGTCGCATTTGTGCGCTCTTCTGCTCGGCGTCGAGTGGTGTCTTGGGCGGAAACGAGTAGGCGAACATCCACAACAGAAGGGGCTGTGCTGCAGGCAGCAAAAGGGGCTGTGCTGCAGGTTCGCCGTTGTCACGCCCAGGACTGAGGTCAGCCTGCAGAGTCTACAGTACGACAAGCGAGCCAACCGCACGCGCCCCGAACCTATAGGTGAGAGTGAGAAACCACACGAACACGCACTTACAATCGCTGCCTTGGTTATGATGCAGGGCCGAAGGTCGACCTTGATGTCATCCGCCGCTACCATCACGCCCGCCAGGTGGCGCTGCTCTATGAGCGCTACAGCTAAAAGTGACCGGAGTCTCATGATGATCACCCTGTGTGCCTTCAGCGTCTCCCACGTGGCGGCACACGAATGAACTGAAGTAGCTTTTTACCGAACGAAACCACGAAGTGTGGGGCTTCGCTTGGGGTGGTTGCTTGAGAGGTGTGTTGACGTGATCGCAATGCTTGTCGTCCGAGTGTGCTGGCGTGGCAAGCAATAATGGCGGTTTGACAGTTGATTGTATCGTCTCGATTCGCCGCGATGGAGATACTGTGTACCGTAGATTGCACCGAAACGGCACAAGTTGCACCGCTTTTTTTCGACTACTGTACATCGGCTCTCTCCGCAAGGTCGCAGCATGAATTGGACGCCCGAACACCAAAACCCTTCCAAACATCTTTCTTGTAGTCTACAAATAGCCAGGACAAAAAATGGCCTAGTACCATACACAAGACTGCCACCAATCGGTCGTGTTGAGCTTTTCCACATACAGTCGAGGTGCCGGTAGTCCTTGGGGAGAAACTTTCCGAACGAAAAAGGTACTTCTACTGTACACGGCTAACTGAAGGCTAACGGTGAGTTGCGTTGTGTTTCGAAGGCTCTCCGTTGCCCCGTCTCCCGAGTTCGACATCGAAGAAGAGGCAGCGAACATCATGCGGGCGGTATACGGTAGTCGACATTGGTACCAAACGTGCGCGTCCACAGACGTGCATGGACGTTCACGTCCTCTCCATTGTCATCGTCCGAAACGTTCGGGAAGGCCGTCTGTGGACGCTGCGGCGGGTGTGGACGCCCAATAAATGCCATTTATTCGCAATCTACCGGTTTTTTTTTACCTGTGGTTGTTTTTTGGCGGTAACCATGATGGTGGTCGAGTAGATCATGTTGTGCGGGGGTCGAAAACCCTCACTCCGCGCAAGGGGGATGATCGCACCACGTTGTGTTAAAATGGTCAAGCACCCTCGAGGCAGTTGCACAGTGCTAACAATTGTCTAAGGAAGTGAAAGCACCAGAAAATAAGTCAAGTCATACGCAGCTGTTATCCGTACGCAAGTAAGTAAGCACAAGATGCCGAACACCCTTAGCAGGATGCAGCGCACCCTACATGCGACTCGCCGAATATCTCACGGCGCTTCGGGCTTGGTGATGTGAGAGCCTGGTCCGGTGAGAACCCGGCGTGCTCCGTCCCGGCTTTGAAGGGATGCGAGGCCAATGGTCTAACGACTTCGGCATGCACGACTACGAGTACAACCCCCCCCCTTGCGTTTGGGTGCCTCAGCCCTGGCCGGTGCAAGTAAGGCAGCCCCGGTATGCATTTAGTCAAAGGAAGTCGACTACGTGATCAACGACGTCATCTGCTGTTCGACTCCATTTTTGCGCGTGTCTGACTTGTCGAACAGGTGCGTTTCGCGGGCCATGAAGAAGACCTGTACTTATTTTAATTCTTCAAGTATCGCTATTAATATCTCGCAAGTACAGTATTTCCTTGAACCATCCCCCGGCGCCCCCCGGTCACCACGTGCAATTTCACTATTACCACTCTATACGCACGGCCGGTAGAAGATCGAGAGGGGACCTATCGATGGCAACGTCAGTAGGTCTGCGCACGGTTGGATATGATCTAGAACCAACGCCACCACCAGCACCACAGGATCGTGTACCAGGAGCACGTAACACTCTCAGGCGGGCGAGGAAGTAGGCGCGGGAGCGGGCGCCTGTGTAGCAAGAACCGGTGCCGGAACGGCCGCGAGGTCCCTGCATTGTTTTCGGTTGTTGGAGGCGGTGGGAAGGGAGAGGAAGCTTCGCGTCAGTGTTGATGTGATCGTAACGCCAAAGTTAAGGTGCATTGTCGAGTGCCGGCAGGACAGGCAGGGCAGGCAGGGCAGGCAGGGCAGGCAGGGCAGGCAGGACAGGAGGCAGGCGTGTTGTACGAACAGGGAGAGAGGGTACCATGGGGGTGTGCGTATGTTCCATGATATATCTCGTGACATTTCACGTACCATTGTGAACCCGTCATGACAAATATGTACGAACGATGTCAAATAATCATGTACGTACTACGAAGTAGGAGGGCTGAAAGCAACGATGTGCCCTTTCAACGGTTCAATCAAATCTTAGACTATAATGTAGTTGCGCCACTGTGCAGTGCACGTACGCACGTGTTTCCACGCCCTCGATATGCAACTCATGCTCGCCGTGGTACCTCCCTACAGTATACACTCATGGAACCGAAGCGTCGATGTCAACGCTGCTACACGCACCACTAGAGAATTATATATATGTACAAACTTGCAGAAGAAGAAAAGGAAGCCGCCTGAGGCGTACCCGAGAGATTCACGCTGAAAGCGCAATTCTTTTTGTCCCTCCTCAACAGCCGCACCGTCAAATCGAAACATCGCTCAACTCAAATGTGCAGCCCGGGTCACTGACTATCCGTCGAGAGAGAATCCGCCATCAGAATGTTCAACAATTGGACCGCAACGTCCAGAAGAAGAAAGAGTTTCACTCACGCAGCTGTTGGCTTGACCACGGCTGGGGGAACATCGTCCGAGCTGGAGGCCACGTAAAATGTCAAGGCCGATTCGTAGGTCTCCTTGGAGTACGGCTATCCGTCAGGGAGCCCCTCCGTCGATACCTGTGCCCAGCAACACCGGAGGCGCTTCGTTATACTTTTCTGCCTCTCTTAAGAAAAACATTCACAACCCACTGCTGTTGGATATCATGCGCGTTTC